ATATCAAATTCTCATGCCTTTATGTTTGTAAGTACTTGACAGTGCAATCTATTTACTGGCAATGAGAGTTTTGTGGCTAAATATCAAATATGTGCTGTAAAAATTCACCATACGTATGCCTTTATTTGAAAAATGGAAAGCTGAAAATAGCTTTAAGTCAGGAGAAGGGAAACCTGCAATTCCTCAGGCATCCTGAGTAATTGTATGAGCTCTAATTGAAAACTCCCTCATCCAATGTGACCTTGTTTGAATTAATGGGTTTTGGAATTAGTGCTCAATAGTTCAGCAAACGTGGAATTCTCTGAAGTTTGCTCATTGCCAAGCACAGTCCAACTGATTGAGAAAAGTGGTCAAAAGACAGTTCTCTGCTTCTCATCTTCTTCAGTGAATTCTTTGGCAAGTATGAGCTTAGCTGAGCTACCTACTATGAATCAGATAAAAGGGGGTGCATGCACAACTGACAGAATCCTTACGTTTGGAAAACATCCGAGAGATTTTCATTATGCTACATTTTCTACAGAAATAAAAAATTGCAATGGAGTATACTGGCCATTTAAGGCTAGTAGCTATGTTCCCTGAATTTAGCAGTGCTTCATGCTAAGTTTCTCTCAAGATTAGCTGGAAATCCTGAAGTGGGAGAAGTGACCTTGGACACTTAACATAGGACAGAAATCCAGGATGCCTTTATGTACTCTGATCCTGTCCCCATTGTGCTGAAGTTCACAGGTAGTTGTATTTTTTTGTCATTAATCCATTCATCAAAAACCACTGTTGTAGCCAAAAAAATGGGTTAGAGGAAAATGTGAAGTGGTTTTAAGAAACTGAAAATGATTCTATCTTTTGTTCATCAGCTTAAAAACCAAAGAACTTAACTGAGGCTACTCAGTCTGTGCTTGTTGCTAGAGAAGGATTTTGTGCATCTGACTGAATTGCATATTTAGTATTTCTGGCTTAGCTGTTTCAATTTGCATATAAAACCAATATACACTGAGAAGATATCCCATCTGATAGGTGAGCATCCTGAGCACCAGCCTAGAGAGGTAGTATTTCTCTCAATAAAGGTGAAACTGTTTCATACAATGTATAGTAATGCCATTAGGAGAAACTATGTGTGCCCCCCACATCCAAACTTGTTGTTCAAGTTAGCCAAAGGTACAAATATGAAGTAACTCTCTCTGTCAGAGAAGGGATTTTAACATGTTCACCTGTTTCACAAGAGACCATCCTAACTGCTACCTCTGGTACCACTGCAATTCAGAAAGTATTTCTGCATTCACGGTAAAACAAAACTAAAAAACATGTGAGGAAACATCCTGATATATTCTACAACATATGGAGTGAGTAATATAAAGGACTCTCTCTACATATAGAACTTGTAACAAAAATAAGTTGATCTTCTCAGACAAACAGAAAACAAGGGAGAGTGGTTAGTATCTTCCAGATGTCCTCATTGGTTGTTTTCATAGTATAGTCCACTGTTGTACCAGGGTATTTGAATTACTTTTCAGTAAGAGAACCCAGGTTTTGCAGGTGGGATAAAGAGCACTGCAGCACTGCTCCCAGCCTTCTGCACTCTGTTTCCCAGTAGGACTATATAGCAGGGGCTCACTGCAGGCTGAACTGGCGGTGATACAGATCCAATACCTCAGGCAGCCTGTGCACCTTCCCACAGCATTCTGCCACGCTCCCCGGGTGTTACTGGGAAGGAGCTTGCCAAGTTGACAGCGTAGTGAATATACCTGCAGACATGCTTAGACAATAGGGAACCAGTATTACCTGGGAAAGTGACCCATTTTTTATGAACTCTTCCTGAAAAATGAAGCATTGCTTGTAGGAGTAGCAGAGCTGTAAGGAAGTAGCACTTAGGATGACTACTGCACCCTGTGACTTTCCATTCAGGAAATTACATGTTGTCTGTGATGGAGGGACGTAGTGGGAGGCAGCAGCAGCTGGAGCTGTATTTTCTCAGCTGTGCATCTGACAGCTGCGATTGGATATTCAGAGACAGAAAGCATATGCTGTCACTCAGGGCTTTTAACATCAAGTATTTTTTACTGGGTTCATTATCTCTTCACAAAATGAAACGCGATGGCTAGAAATGCCCTAACCACAATGAAACATGAGTCTCAGCAAGGGTCACACAGAGCCCAGGTCCAGCTTTTCCCTGTGCCAGCAATGTGGCTGCCTCCTTTGCACCGTCGTTTGCCTTGCTCATTTACACCTGGGGCAACAGGGACTGCCCTATGACTTGCTACACAGTTGCCTTCAGAGGTGGTTCCACAAGTAATTAAACTACCTGGATCTGTTCAAAAGTTATGTGTTCTTCATTACTATAGATATTAGCAATGAACCACTGGGCTCATGTGAAGTTGAATACAGTTAAGAAGAGCTACATACTGGTAGTTCTTTTTCCATCTATTAGAAAACCCTGTTAGCAGAGTCCATTAATAATGTCCCACATAATATTCATTGTAGTTGCAACCATTCTACCTTCTGAAAGCTGTTAATGCATCTAGCAATATTTTGGGAAACTGCATACTGTAAATATATACTCTATACTTTTGTAATTGAATTCATAGATCAAATACAAGATTTTTTATTTTAGGTTTACATTTTTAGTTACATAAATTAATTTTGAGCTAAGCCTGTGTGTTATGATTTAATTGCTTCACAACAATGATAAAAGGCAGTCATGACCTATATCACGAAATTTTGCACGTAATAATTACATTGAAAAGCCTGTTAATTTTCTAAGAAATTACTTTAGTTTCTTTGCCAAGAAGAGTTTGTTACATCAGAAGCAAAAAAGGAATTAATGTAATGTAATTTTCCTAAGAATTCCAAAGACTGAATTGGAACTGAAGGCTGATGCAAAACTCTAACCTTTTTGACATTTATTTGAATGAAGCCCACATAAATGCCAAATAACTGCCAACACCATTTTCATATTTCAGGCAACTGCTTCTTTTACAATTTTCAGAGAGGGATGGAGAAGTAAGACATTTTTTGAATTACAGCAATGATAGGAAATGAAGTATCTCCCTCCAAACTCAGAGGGGTTGAAGAGAGAAAAATAGAAGAATTATCCCTAGAGTAATCTTGTTTAAAAACAAGAACTTATTTGGCAACTGAAATTCCTGATTAAAAGTGAATCAACTAATCCTTACTCTTTTGTAAAACAGAAAATTATTTCTAATTTGTATATTTACCTTATTTAGAAGCTGAGGACAAACTTGCTTAGTGGTACAGAGAAGATATATTGAATACAGAACCACACTCAGAACTGTATATAGTCCACAAGCCTGGAAACACTTTTGGATCAGGAAAACACCTCAAATAATCTTTTTTCTCCAGAATGTCAATATCACTTCACCGCAACAAAGAAGAGTAATTACATACGTGGTCAAGAAAATCTATCTGATAAATCATTTCTGAGATGAGGCAGAAGCTATGTGCAAAATGAAGGTTAAAGTTTTCAAAACCACAGTATTTAACCAGCAGCCTGCTAATCAATGCAAAACTATGAAAACATTGCGATGCAAATATACTTACTACCTAATCCTGTACTTTCCCAAACATATTCTCTTATTCAGCTTTGTCATTCCAAAGTCAATAAAAGAAATTACTTTCAGTGAGAATTTTGGGCTTATCTAGTATATAAACTCAAGACAGCTTAGGTTAAAACCAATCCACTTGGATTGGTAATTCTGAAAGTAATTCTGAAACTATTCCAATTCAGTACCTGAAGTCAGACACCAAAATAAGTATCTATTTGTGTCTTTTGTCATGGAATGTGTCTTCATGATGATCACATAGTGAAAAGATGAAAATTAGTCTCCGGGGTAGCAATAAAATATCATTTTGTATTATGATAGCATTTCTATTAATCAAAGGACAGAAACATCCCTAGAGGGGGCACTGTAGGCCACAATTTCTAGTTTTACACAAAGTTACGTATAGCAATTAAAATACTAAGATAAAACAACATTTTATGTTACTTCTGGAATGCAAATGTATGTTATTCAACTGTGGCTTACTTCCTTTCTAAGCTCCCACTGTTCTGTTATACAACAGATGTGTCAAACAAATAATTTTAAAAGTATTTTTATATTGTTATGTGATACATTTTCAGCTCATTTTTACCTTGTGTAGATGGGTAGCCTGCACTGCAGTTTAATAGTATGTGGAAAGGACAGTATTAATTAGGAACTGACATTAATGTATTTGGAAACATAAAAGTGAATTTGCATCACTTAACAAAGAATACATATTTCCTATAGATTTCATTTGAATTATTTAACTGCCTTCTGTGCAATCTTTTCTCTACCAATACATGCTAATACTCTAAAATTAATAAAGTTACCATGTTTGCTAAGCAACCAGTAAGAGAAAAGAAAATCGCCAAAAGAATGTTAAAAGATTTTAAGTGTTATAACAATGAATGCAAATTGTTACTAATAAGTAATGGCAGATGTCTGAAACTTGCCATAATGTTTACAAGTCAGTGTATTGATACAACTGGTTACACCTTGCCTAAAATAATTAATTCCCTTTTAAATTAATTGTCTTCAAGTGTTTGGACCATATAGTTTTAATCTTGCTTCTCTTTTTCTCTTGATACTTTAAGGACCTAAATTAAAATTACTGCAACTAATCTCATTTGAAGATCCACTACTTGATAGATAAACCATGGACATGTCTAACAATATCTTAATGATACCATTTGAACTTGTATTTTTATATTTGCACCTAGATAACTGTATGTATGGGGAATGGAGGTCAAAAATCCAGGTTCATTACATTATGCATGCAGGATTCTTCCTGGAAGGAGCTTATTCCAAGATGTAGCCACAATGGTACAGTATTACAATCTTAAGAATAGTGGTATCAAACACTCACTACACAGGGAAATTGTTTACGGTGTCTAACAACCTTTTAGAAAACAAGAAGACATATTCTCACATGCAGAACGGTGGAAAGGTCAGTGTAGATTTGCTTACCTGTGGTTGACCTGATAGTTGAGGTGATGTTGGAAGATGTCAGCGCGGGTATACATTCATCATCTTGGGAATAACCTGCCTGAATGGCACGCAAGTAACTGTGGCTTCTTGTTCGGAAACATCCAGGGAGGTCAAGGGCATCCATTGCCTGAGCTTCAACTTCACTAAACACTGATTCACACACCGATTCAAATTGCCCATTAACCTCTGCTTCACTCATCTGAATAAACAACAACAATGCATTTGATTTTTGACTTGCTTTTTTGTGATCATCACGGCCTCAACATCTCAAATGGACACCTGTACATTGATGAAGAACTGTTTTAGCAAATAGTTAAAACTTAGTAATCCCTTCTGATCACATTCACATTGTTTAGCTGTTTACATGTATATATTAAGTGCATCACACATACCATACATTAATTTTACATTTAATATATTTTGGCATAGCCAGATGATTGTAAATACATGATTTAATTGTAACCAACAAGAATACTCTACGCTGACAGAAATCTGTGATCTGCCAGGACAGGAGAACGGAAACCAAACATGCTGATATTAGCCTCAAAAGATGAAGGTGGATTGCTTGGGCTCCTCACTTATCAGCAAAGTTATTACTCATGTGGACATTTAACCTGTGTGGCAGGTTTATCTTCCTCTCACTATAAAGGGGCTCAAGGAAGTATTTAATTCTTGAAGATGTATAAAAGTACAGAGGAGATGATGCTTCTGAAAGGTTTGAGAAATATTGCATCTAGAGCTGTGTCCAGTGAAGCATGTGAAAAAATAACCATTGTCTGAAACCGAGTGAAAAGTGATCAGATGAGAAAGTAATGCTTGGACCACATTTAGCTGAGAAGGGCCCTAAACCAAACTCACTCCCTCTTTAACTGGGTTAGCCATTCAACTTCCATGGAAAAACCTTTTGTTCAGCAGCATTATTTAAAGTCTGATACTTCTGCCACCAAGCATGCTGAGGAACACTGCCTGCACCCTTACCAGGCCCATCCCTTGGGGTATTTCAGCAGCAGCCTCCAGCGCTTGGGCAGAACCCAGCATCCACCTGCTGACCCTGCCTTGTAGGTTGGGCATGATGCAACACTATACATTTTTAGGCAATTTTCATAATAACAGGGTGCAGGCAGGCAGGCCAGGCTCATGGAACCTCTCAGTAGGGAACTGTGTGTCACAGTTTTGAGGATTAGTGCCTAAATTCTACCTACATTTTTAACAGTTTCACTGAAGTCAGTCCTAACTACCTGTAAATCTATCTGAATAATTTAATATTATGTTTATCCAAAATCAGATAGGAAGTTAACACTGGATAGACAAATGCATGACTTTCTGAAAATATTTTTTTTAAAAAAGAGAGTGCTAAAAATCAGAATCAGTATGAATAATTTTACAAGTTAAATTTATAGCATCACTAAATGGCACATCCAGTTGATATTAATTTTCCTATACAGCTGCTAAGTGCTCCTAGTGCTTTATTCATTATGGTAAGAGAGTCAGTTTAGGATTTTGGTTAAGTAAATGGAAATTTTATACAAAAGTTCTGATGATTATGAATAACTGATATTTTAATTTTGAGTAAGATGTTTTGGCTACTAAAACTCTTCTGAAAGGAATTATATTACCCTTCATAAAACTTGCTTTTAATAAAGGTAAGTAGACTAATTCAATCTTGAAAAGATTTTAAAAAATCTTACTCTGAACTATTTTGCAATATTGTTGATAAGAAAATTTATGATAATTTAGTCCATAAACACTTTAAGTCCTAACCACTTCTTTCAAACTAAGGTCATTGAGAATAGAAAAATAAAAATTAAACTTAAATTAAAAACATAAACCATGGAACTCAGCATCTTTCTTGACTCTTCCCTTTGTCAGGAGTGAAAAAGGAAGGATCTCACAAGAAAAAGATATAAAAAATACCACAAATTATATAAACTGCTATTATATAGGTGGGACAATAATATGATGGTGTCATGGAAAAAGAATAGGAAATAGCAAAGGTTCAGAACTTGATATTTAATACATTTGCTTTGTATAATATCTAATAAATGCATTTATTACTGGTCTGGAAACGCTGAACTGTGAGGTGGGAAGTATGTGGCTGACACAAAGTCGCATAGGTTAGTGAAAACTGAAAAAGTAAGGAACTATATCCAGCAACTTTAGTTAATCTGTCCAATTGAGCAAACTACCTGCAAATGAAATCTTTTGTGGATATCTTCCAGGTAATGCACATTGGAATGAAGAATTTTAACCACTGCTGAAACCAATTAGTCATTATGGACAGCTCAGTGAACACCTCTGTGCACAGACATGTTCAAAGAGGCAGAATAGTTCTATATGATAATATTTTTAGACGAAAGCCAACAGCACTTGCTTTGAATGCAGAATCTGATCATTATGAAACTTTCTCAAAACCAGAGTCTAATAAAAATAGAAAATAACCAAACCAGAATGATAAAAACCAAGGCATGAGAATGATGAGGACAGGTTTCACAAGGGAGTTATAAAAAATAATGAAAGGTTTGGAAAATGGCTGTTTCTAATTTCAACATGTGTTGTGCAAGATTATACTTATAATTACTCCATATAAATTAAGGAATTTGACTGAAGGGCATTAATCACATGACTAGTCCCTCCCAGCTCTCCACAGTCAGTGGATACTAAAGGCATTTCCAGAGGGCTCTCTGCCCGCTCTGGATATGCATTATCCAGGAAGAAACTGTTTCACTCCATTAACTACAGAGGAAGCTTTAGTTGTTGCTTCAGTCAAAAGCCTCACGTTAGATGAGTTGCATCCAGGTCTGAATAGCCATTCAATACAAATTGAATATGAATGAATATAAAATTGCTTTAAAAAGATTTCTCTTTTAACATAACCATTGTGCATGTATACCCTTAGGTGGCTCACTAAATGGTGAAAGGAGACTTAAGTAACATATCTGAGAAGAGGGCAGGGCCCATCTGTCATGAAACAACACAGGGAAGAAATGCCAGGACCAATAAACATTAGAAACGTGGGGAATTTTATGTAAAGCCCTCTGCTAAACAAAACATGCACATACTTCCTAAAGCTGCTTGCACTTCAGGTCTGATTCAGATTTCACTTTAACAGAAGTTAGTATTAACTAACTGACATAAAACCACTAGGGAGAAAAAATGTATCTTTTCAGAAGAACCCATCCATAGAATAATTGATGGGACTTATTCCTTCACCCAAAAAGAGTGGGGGGTTGAGTTTAGAGATGAATCACTGCTCCTTTGGAGCACAGTTTTTTCAACCCATATGTTAATCTGGCAATCCACATTTACTGAAATCAGAGTAAGTATTTTCAGAGGATGAGTATTGTAGGAGTGTGCTTCTCATTCTCAGTCGGAATCTTCTTAACATTTAAATATTTAATACAGACTGAAAATGAAACACCCAGTATTTATATTTTTGACAAAAATAAATGGAAAATATTATGTGTGGTAGCGTCCTTTTGTCTCTAGTATTTAGCACTTTTCTTGAAATTTTGAGTTACATTCCTTAGAACAGAATTACTTTGACAATGCACATCTTCAACTTGACATAAATTTAAAAAAAACCAAAAAGCCAAACCCATCCACTAGTAAAAACTCTCACATCTGCAGTTAACCTATAAGAAAAGTTATAACAAGAATTTCCCACCTGACTAACACAGCTGGCCTGACTGAGCGTGCTCACTGCTCTCATATAGCTCTGATTCCTTGAGCGAAACTTTGGGGAATTGTAGTTTGCAGAGGGATCCAGGTTGTGACCCCCAGGCACGTCACTTGCAGTTTGAAGGTAGCTCTGACTACAAAGGAAAGAGGAAGAAAAAAGGAAAGGCTGTAAAACTACAGATGGAATCAATTAGGACACTAAAGACAGTAATTTGTATGAGACTCACAAACCCATTCCCCAGGGTCTAAATCTTACTCTAAATAAAGCATCACAGATCTGTTGTAGTTAAACGCCTTAGCACAAGCAGAGAATCTATCTGTGGTTCTGCTACCAAGACAATATGAAATTTTAAGTCTTTGCTGTATTTAAACATCATCAATCCTTCTGGCTATTAACATTGAACTTTACTAAAAGACAATGTCTAGGTCAACAGGAACAAGAACCAGAGCTAAAGCACAAAGTAACTAAAAATCTTTCCTCATAGATAAAATCTGCTACTTGTCATCTGGTTTTCATCAGGGTGCTAGGCATCAAGAGATCTTTTATCTTCAAAGGTTGATAGAGTTTTACAATAGATTAAAATATCCCATGTTCAACTAAAAAAATAAATTAACAGGGTGGTTAGACCAAGTGAACAAAACTCTAGAAATTGTTTTCTTACAACACATCTCCTCCACAGTTTGGAGGACTGGGACTTAACACCACATTGGGTGCCTTTCAGTATGCTTTCACACCACGGGTATGCTGGTCTTCATGTTTTGCTTTAAAGATATTGATTATCTATCATTCCAGAAAAACAAATAAACCTAAGAAAAGTGCAGTACTTTGCTTTGAACAACAAAAAAATTAAAGTCACAAACATTGTTCACAAGAGTTCACAGAACTCTGTAAATCTGATTTTAGAAGTCATGTGACGCTTTTCTCTAGATATCAGCGCAGAAATGAATTAATGTCCCAGAAAATATTTCATTTCATGTGGTAAATAGGCAGTTTTTACATTTATTCCTTACAGTAGCTTTAACAAAAACTATTTCTGGGAATGACAGATTTGTGCCCATTAAATGTCTAATATTGGCCATACAGTTACTTCATGCTGAACTGGCAGAGTGGTCAGTCCAGCAGTGGTTGTGATGTGTGCTCAGGCTGTTGGGAATTTCCTGTGAAGGGCAAAGTTTCGTCTCTGGAAGGACCAGACCACTCAGTGAATGAGAAAGCCACAGGTTCAACTCCTACTGTAAGATAAGGCACAAACCAGGATCTTGTTTCTCAGACCATATTTATCAAACACTGAGCATGACCATAGGCTGGTGATTGAGGAAGGACTCAGTGTTCCTCATTAAGTGGACACAACCTGAGTTTGGGCTGGATGCAAGCCCTGAGGAGCATTCAGGGAGGAATCCCAGATATTTTATCACAGCTTTGACTAGAAAAGCAAATAGTATTACATCCATTTCCCTGTGTGGTCATGTCCTTTGATGTCTGACATGTGATGATCCAGTATTCCCTCACATCATCAGCTGCAAGAGCAGATGGGATTTAGAGACTCTTCCAACCTTACACTTGGGAGATCTGTTCTCAAGCATTTCCATGTGTTCTCCCATCTCAGGGTCAACACAGCCATAGCCTTGCTTCCTTGGTGTATCTGCCAATGGGCGGGCTAGCTGCTCCTCTAAGACAGGCTGTCTTAGACTCACAGAATCATTTAGTTTAGAAAAGACCTCTAAGATCATTAAGTGCAACTGTTAACCAAGCACTGCCAAGTCCACCACTAAACCATGTCCCTCAGTGCCACATATACATGTCTTTTAAATACCTCCAGGGATGGTGACTCAACCACTACCCTGGGCATCCTGTTCCAATGCCTGATAATCCCTTCAGCGAAGAAATTTTTCCTAATAAATTTTGCTGGAGCATGTCCAAAGAAGAGCAACAGAGCTGTTGAAGCATAAAAAATGAAGGGTTTTGTTTTTTCAGCTTTGTTCAAGGCAGGCATTTTTTTAAATTCTTAAGAAATTTCCCTGGAGAAAAAAAAAACAATTTTTTTTCCCTGTCTTTATTCAGCGCCTTCTATGGAATATCTTTTTAACCTCATGAGAGAGGTAAACTATGTAGAAACTATAACTGCTAAAACTGAAATGAAAATGTATGAGATTTTGTAGGCATGTGCTCAGAGGTTAATTAAGTCATCACAGTCAAAGTGATTCTACGATTAAGATAGCTGTCTGATAGTGGGTATAATTAAGTTTCAGATGATAAAAACAAGAATTGTAGCAGCAGTTTTTTCTTCCCATAGGTAGGAAGACAAATATAATAGATTAGGTGAGGTGCTGTAGAACCTCACTATCTACATTTAGTTGCTGGATGTAACTAAACTTCCTTTCCTCTATAGGCAGCAGGCTGATGACTGAGACGTGCTTTGACTCATTGGGATTCTTTGCATATGCTTTACTTAATCGTAGAATCACAGAATGACTTATGTTGGAAGGGACCTTAAAGGTCACATAGTCCCAATCCCCCTGCCACGGGCAGGGATGCCACCCACTCGATCACATTGCTCAAAGCCCCATCCAACTTGGCCTTGAATCCTACCAGGGCTGGGGGATCCACAGCTTCTCTGGGCAGCCTGTTCTAGTGCATCACCACCCCCACAGTCAAGAACTTCTTCCTAACATCTAAGCTAAACTCGCTTCCTTTAGTTTAAAACCACTTCCCACTTGTCCTATCACTATCTGCCCATGAAAAAAGTCACTCTCTCCTTTTTAAGCCCCCTTTAGGTACCGAAAGGTTGCAAAAAGGTCTCCTTGGAGTCTTCTCTTCTCTAGATTGAACAACCCCAGTATTCTCAGCCTCTCCTCATAGTAGAGGTGCTCCAGGCCCCTGATCATCTTGGTGGCCTCCTGTGAACCTGCTCTAAGAGGTCCGTTTCTTTCTTGTGCTGAAGAATCCTGACCTGGACATACTACTCCAGGTGGGGTCTCACAAGGGCAGAGAGACCTTTAACCTGTCTGGTATTGTCAATAATCTGTTTGGTATCACGACTTTAGTATTTTTCAAAACAGAGGAGTCCCCCCTGGACCTTCTGCTTGTCACCATCAGGTGGCTAAATCTGGGATTCTGAGTTCATAAACACTGTGTGAAAGAGACATTTGAGATTTCATTAAAATATGAGGCACATTAAGAAAAGATAGAAGGAATATAATTAAATTATAAATTTTTAATTACTGTATGAACTACGTTAAAAATAATTAATATAAACTGATTCCTAGTAACTGTCTCCTTTGCTAAGTAATGCTCAATGTGATTTAATTAATCACATTCTGGTTCCTTGTGAGATATTGCTATCATTAAATACAATCAACAATTTCTACAGCTATCATTTCTTAGGGAAAGAAACCCAGTATTCCACAGTACTTCTAAGCAGCTGAGTTTCGATGAATAAGTTTGGATATTACCTGATAGTTAAATAATTTTTCATTTTTCAGAGGAGATTAATTGATTCATGGAACTGAAGCAAAATAAAAGAAATGTTACACATATTAGGCTATAAAAGCAATTTTACATTCATTTGATTAATACTTAGAAAGAAAAACTAATAATTCCTTTTTGTCAGGAAAATTTCAAAGATAGAGTCTCAAAGTTATCTTCTAGGATAAATGTGTCAATGCATGGTGAAAATTATGACCTTGCTATATATGTGACCCAGAACTAAAATGCCAGAGTTATATAGGAAAGTTGCTCTCAAGGCTAGAAAACGCAATCGACATCTGATCTTGGTAAATGTTGACTATTTAATGACATCCACTCTGTCTAAAAGCTTAGGAACAAAATTCTTGACCTTCATTTCCAAAACATCAAAGCTCTTTCGCTTTGACAAAAGAAAATAATTTTCTTTTATGCTTTATAGCAGCATGGAGGATTTTATATCTCAGCTGATCACTGAAGAAGGGCAAGGCAAGCATGTGCAAATGAGATGGTTTGACAGGTCATCTCCAGGACCACTAAACAAATATACCCATTAACATCAAGGAGTTGACTCTAAAATTTGGTACTATGGAAAAGGAGGAAGAGAGTGAGACTAATAGGAAAAATTACATTGCTATGTCAGCTCTCTTCCCATTTGCTTTTCCAACTAGACAAGATTTTAGGGAGAGATCTTCTTTAAAAGCTTTTTTGCCCTCGAGGGTTGCTTTCCATTTTCCATTGGCTTTGGAGGAAGTTCAGGGCAGCTAGGAAGAAGTCTTAAATTTAATGAGAAGTATTCTTAGTTGAAAGCAAGGCTCAAAGCCTAGAGAAGTTTTTGGGGAAAAGGTAGTTGCATGTAATGACCTTGCAGCTCTTTAGGACCTAAAAGTGAAGCTTTAGGGCTCCCAGTGAAGACAGCTAAACTTGCAACAGCACTTTCAGCACTCAGCAGGTTGCCTGAGTGTGTTCAGGGAGGACACAATACTGTATTATAACCACATAAAGTGAGATATAGCATGACACCTGGGACAGTATATCTGACCGCTTGTCTGATAGCATAGTTGGCATAACATGTCACCCAGCTATGGAGTGAATGGCAGTGAGGTTAGGCTGCATATTTCAACAACAAAAAATAGATAAAGAATAAGGGAAGAGGCAGCAGTGAGGCAGTACTGAGTACAAGGGGAGAAGTCCACTAACTTTTTCCTACAAATTCAAATTCCTGAGCAGTAATACTTGACAGCCAAGAGAAATCTAGGGGAAGCATGGAGCATATAACTCCTGAGAAAGGGATCTCTGTCACACTGCTTTTTTTTTTCTCTCTGTAATATTTTCTAGTAAGTGATTGACATCATAATTTGTCATAAACTTAATACCTTTGCTTAAAAAAATATGATCCTGATGCCATCAAGGCAGCAAATGTCATACACTTGCCAAGGTCATTCTTTGATCTACTCACATTCAAAGTAGTGATCAGTCCCCACAGCACCTCTTCTCTTGTCAAATGTTCAGCCACCAGTGCACCCTGGGTCAAGGAGGTACCAAAAGTGAAATAAAATCTTCCTAGGGCTCTAAAAGTTTCAGCAAGAAGGTCACCTTCTGACTCTGAGTGGGTCTATCAGGTTTATTCATGGAGCATCCAATATAAAGAAAGTCCATTTTCCATCAAAT